GAAAGGAAAAATTGAAATCGCATCATACGACCCCTTTAAAGTTTGACGTGCTGCCATAGCAACAGTCTTTAAGTTATCAGACATCATCTCACAGTTTTACATAGGCTGTGTTTTGACATTATTCTAGTGAAGTTAAGAAAATCGAGTAAAAATTAGTGGATGATTTCAAAGCATTTTGAAAATGACACTTCCTGCTGCCAATTGGTGGTGCTATAACTTTGTCACCTAATACTCACATGTATGTGATCGGCATCATATAACGTCCAAACTGATGAAGTTTGATCAAAAACAGACAAAGTGTGCAAAAGTAATTAGACACTTCATGTTTCTCATTTCTCTCCATAATTTCGTCACCTCGCCACGGCCAAACCGTTCGAGAGATCAAAAATTCCAGGCCAATTTTGCATCCCCAATGTCTTGAGATCATGTTGATCGAGTTTGGTGGCAATCGTATGAAAAACCTCATGAGTATCGCAAATTCCAGAGCATGCACTTTTCACACAGCCCTGAATAGCTCACTTCCTGTTGGGTGGAGCCTATGACATGCAGTACGAAAGTTGTTCAGCACAGTGAGATCTATGTGTACCGAGTTTCATATGTATACGTGCAAGTATGTGTGAGCTATGCAGCAAGATTTCTGACTGTGTTCCAGGGGGCGCCATAGAGCCCCTGTGCCACGCCCGGGTCCCAGCCTCTGCGGTGTCCTAATGACCGCAGATTTCAACGTGTGTGCCAATTTTCAAGAGTTTTTGAGCACGTTAAGGCCCCCAAAAAGCCCTGGATAGTCAGATTTTTTTTTTTAGAAAAACAATAGGGCCCTAATAATCCTTAAATGTCTGTTTCGTGGTCTGTTGAGGAAGTACAGACGTTCCTCTCATTGATAGCAGAGGAGCGGATCCGGCAAGAGCTTGATGGGGCGACGCGGAATGAAAACGTTTTTCAGGAGTCGAGGCAGTAGAGGCGGCGCAACTATACCGACATGTGAATAATCCCGCCCACTCTAAAATGGTACTAAACTGCAGTGGAAAGGCAAACCGAGCCGAGTCGTACCACACAGTGGAAAAGCACCACTAGTTCATCTTTGGTACACAAATTAAGATAACGCTACATGCGTGGTGATGCGTTCTGACGTACAATGCTCACGTATGTTTCGTGAAACTCTCGTGAATGCACGTTGAAGACTGACACCGAAGAGAAGAAGTTGTTGAATAAAGTTATTTTTGTTTTCTTTGCACACAAAAAGTATTCTTGTGGCTTCATAAAATTAAGGTTGAACCACTGATGTCACAGGGATTACTTTGGGAAGTCGTGGCCTAATGGTTAGAGAGTCTGACTCATAACCCAAAGGTTGTGGGTTCGAGTCTCGTACCGGCAGGGATTGTAGGTGGGTGGGAGTGAATGTACAGTGCTCTCTCCCACCTTCAGTTTTTCTTTGCACACAAAAAGTATTCTTGTGGCTTCATAAAATTAAGGTTGAACCACTGATGTCACAGGGATTACTTTGGGAAGTCGTGGCCTAATGGTTAGAGAGTCTGACTCATAACCCAAAGGTTGTGGGTTCGAGTCTCGTACCGGCAGGGATTGTAGGTGGGTGGGAGTGAATGTACAGTGCTCTCTCCCACCTTCAGTACCACGACTGAGGTGCCCTTGAGCAAGGCACCGAACCCCCAACTGCTCCCCGGGCGCCGCAGCATAAATGGCTGCCCACTGCTCCGGGTGTGTGTTCACAGTTTGTGTGTGTTCACTGCTGTGTGTGTGTGCACTTTGGATGGGTAAATGCAGAGCACTAATTCCGAGTACGGGTCACCATACTTGGCCACATGTCACATGTCACTTCACTTTAAAGATGTCCTTACTACCTTTCTGGGCCTTGAACTGGGTTCACCTTCCAGTTGTGTTGCTGTCTATGGAGGGTCAGAAAGCTCTCGAATTTCATCAAAAATATCTTAATTTGTGTTCTGAAGATGAACAAAGGTTTCTTACAGATTTGGAATGACATGAGGTGAGAAATTAATGACAGAATTTTCATTTTTGGGTGAACTATCCCTTTAAGCTCAATACACTGGCTCCCAGTTCACTATAGAATTGATTTTAAAGTCCTTTTACTGGTATTTAAATCTGTGAATGGCCTGGCTCTCTCTTACCATCTTGTTGATCTTTTGTCTGAACATCAGCTTGGGAGATCAAGAAGTTCTACTGATCAGATGCTATTAACCGTCCCTAAAACTCATCTGAAATCTAGAGGTGACTGTGCCTTTGCAGTGGCTGCACTGCAAAGATTTAGCTTTTAATCATTAGTAGCTTCTATGTTGTTGTATGTTTTGTCATGTTGTATGTTATTTTATAGTTATCGTTTTGAACAGCACTTTGGTTAGCACTTCAGGTTTTAAAATTTTGCTTTATAAAAATCAATTTGTCATTGTCGTTTTCGACAAGCAACACTTCTGCACAGAATACACGTGTATCCTCACTTACAGATAGTCTGAAAGCTTCCTCACTTCCTTATGGTGCAATTAGAGATTTGATATGTCCTTCAAGATGGCTAACTTTAATTGATACCTGGGTCAATGGCTGGAGGACGGAGGTGCAAGGAAACATCAGTTTGAGTATTGAAAAGCACCCTAGGCGTACAGCGTTTTGTACATACACATCCAAGTGTGTATGGTATATGGAACAATTTTTTGACTGCTTTCAGGGGGTGATGTAGAAACCTAATTGCAGAAAACTGTGTGCAAAGTTTCAAAATCCTGAAGGGGTTTTTTTTTTTTTTTTTTGAGGAATGTTTAGGAAAACAATAACATACCTGTGGTAAATGTCTTCAGTGTTTTCAGCATGACATGTTTAGATAAGTGGAGCATCAAGTTGATAAATCTTGGTCCAAAAGCAGAGAGTAAATGTGATGCAGCCACCTTAGGAAAAGCATTACCTTCTTCGTTCTAAATATATAAAAAAAAAATATTAAAAAAAACAGAACAATAAAACATAATAATCATTAAAAAGGCACAAAAAATACATTAAAAAACTTTTTTTTTAAACATATACCTATCTAAACATTTTCTGGCAATGCAACAGGCACAGTAGTAACAAGAAAATATATATTAAACATCAAATTAACATACCGCTATCTCTTGGAGCCATGAAAAAGCCACCTTTCGAAACTCAGCATCACCTTTACGATCCCAAATTGGCCAGCAATGTCTATGAAAACAATAAGATTTTCAAATCCACAATTCAAATCACAACAAGTGAGGATGTCAAAATTGAAAAAAATAAGTCATGTATTGTACTACCTGAAGACAACTTGGGCACGTGCAGGATTCAGTTTATTAAATAAAAAGTGGATGACAATGTAGAATGCCTCTTTGTTTGGCTTATCAAACATGTTCCTGTCAAACAAACAAACAAAAATAACTAACTAAAATTACTATTATTAGTATGTATTTTTTATATGTGTGTGTGTGTGTGTGGCGTGACAGTGGTGTAGCTTGTCAGACATAGCAACAGTAAAGAAGGGGGTCAGTTAAAGGTACAAGTATCTGGCGATATACACACTTGAGTGAAAATACAATAAGTATTAAAAGAGTGGAAGCAACCTAACAAAAATAAGAGAGAGGATATTCTTGTTTCATTTTAAATTTTCTTAATTACTTTCTTTCTTCAGATGAACACAAAGATTTTTTTTCCCTAAAAAAAAAATCTGTCTGCATATAACACAAGTGTACAGGATGTCTAAAGATGACGCTTCAAAAACTACACAAAGTGAATGGTGTATAATCCATACAAAACAAGTTGATGAATCAGTGTCACCAAGTGAAACAATAAGCTCGTTTAAATTTTTTTTTTTTTAAACTTTACTTTCATGCTTACTTTGCTTGTGGTTTTGAAGCCGTCCTGTATACGTGCATTATATGGACTAAAAACTTTTGTTTGTGTTCATCTTAAGAAGTCATATACATCTGGGACAGTACGAGGGCGATGATTGAGAGAATTTTTATTTTAACCGGAGACCAGAAACATACTCCAGACAGAATACAAGTACGTGTTAAATTAATGATGAGTGACTTAGAATTAGCACACACAAATATGCACAGCAAAAAATGTGACTTTTGAAGATTAACTGTAACGTGTTACTATGTTCAGAAGACTGAATGTGTTCCGGCAAGACATTCTACCTCTGACCAGTTGACACTTCTTTTGTTATTAATTATTATCTGTAATTTGTGATTTTACCAGGTCCTGGTGCTTTTAAACTGTTCCTTTTTATGATGTTAAAAGTGCAGCTTATATATATATATATATATATATATATATATATATATATATATATATATATATAT